TTCTCAGTTCTGGTATCAGACGCTCAGAGGTTTCTTATTACTAAAAACAAGCTAAAACTCATTGAATGGCTGAAAAAGGCAGATTTTGAAGGACCCACTTCATTTCTGTCCCAAATTTACGCCCAATGTGTCAAGTTAGCTTCTCTGCATGCTTTATATTCCTGCCCTAGGCTCTTCGTACCACTACAGCAGAGATCTGGCTCCGGGACCTGGCAACTTGAAGCAGCACGTACACACCACCTTTCCTCATTTCACTGGTTATGAAAGGTTTTATTTGGCTCAGAGGGTAAAAAGTGGGGAAAGCATTCAGTATAATACTATTTCTTATTCATAGACTTTCACACCTGTGCAGACCAATGAAGAAAAGAGAGAAACCCTTAAGTAGAAGACAAATTTATGAAAAAATCTATTATGCTGGAGTTTATCCAGTTCATAAATCTTATGTCCATTAAAGTTACAGAAACATTTTGTGCCCTGCCATCTCCTTCTCATTTGAGCACTTACGCTCATTTATGTCTGATTTTTCTCTCACTCTCACAAGTCTGACGTAACTCAAAATTACACTTTGACAAAATTAGAAAATGTTATGAGTATGAGGTTTGACATCCATTAAGATTTTTAATAGACACCATCTTAGCTTTCACCAGAGAAGCCTTATAACCAAATCATACAACTTTCTTTGCCAACCACAATCTAATCAAAATATACTGGATTGCTTTACAATTTTTCTGAGCTTGCCTTATTCCTGTACAACATAGTAAGACTTGTACTGCAATCATTGAAATGGAAATTGCCAAAATACATCTGAAAAATTGAAAAGAGAGAGCCATCTCCATGTTGTTCAAAATCATTTACAGCCTTCAAATACCTGATTACTAGGTTTCCTTTCACTAGATCTCCTTTATTCCTTATACTGCAGCATCGGTTTAATTCATCATAGCTGCAGCACTGAAATGATATTAACCAGTACTTTTATTGTCGGTTAGAAGAGAATAAAGTACAAAATGGAAACGGAGATTCTTAACAGATTCTTAACAGTTCCATGCTAAAATATTGAGAGATTAAATAGTCTTTTAGTGCAGATTAATGCAGTCTATACTTAATTAAACACATAGAGAAAGACTTAATTAAATAACATTACAAAAACTGCAATCAAGCACTTAAAGGTTCGGAAGCGCCTACAACGACATTACATGGAGCTATTCTGTCCCAGTGGGGGTGCATGGATTAGGATACAGTCCTTATTACACAGCTGAAAATTGATCACATGAACTCTGATTATGGCACTGCCTAAATCTTTATTACTTGGCATGGCAGTCTTAATGACAAGCTTTCAATGCAGCAAGTTGTGCTTTGTGACTTAGGTTTCATAAAAGCGAATGAGGATCCCATAAACTTTATCATGTGGCTTCACAGAGGAGCTGTCAGAGATGCAGAACCTTGCAAGCCAGCACTCATGACCCCTCTGCAATGTGCACTAACACAGCAGCCAGCAGTGGGGATAGACTGAACTGACCCATGCTGCTGCATACGGAGCTGAGACATGAGAATTTCAAATTTCCCAGCTTTGACCTGAAAAACCTGTAGGGAGCACTCTTCACTTTTCCCCTCCCGGTTCCTTCCCTTCCCTTTCTCCTCTCTTCTCATCTTGCCTCTCCTCTTCCTTTCCTCTCCCTCTCCTTTTGCTCTCCTCTCTCTCTCCTCTTTTTTCCTTTCTTCTCCCCTCCTCTCCTTGTTATTTGTTAACAATTTGAGCCTTTCTACCATTTAGTTTGCAGACTGCCCCTGCCTTGGCACTGCCTCTTCTCTAATCTCCATTTCTTTCCTCAGTCCCAGCTGTATTCCTCAGGATTAGAGTTGCAGATATCTTTCCCCTTTCTTCTATATCCATAATCTGCACCTCCAACCACTCCATATTTCCATACACGGCCACAAATGTACCTCCGTTCATCTCTCTAGGCTCTCACTGTTTCAGCCCCTTCTTCCAGGACCCGTCTCCAGGCTCAGCCTTTACTTCACACAGTGTCCTAGTTATTTGTCCCAGTTTATTCACAGAGTCAACTCTATTTGTCCCCTAGTCTCAATCTCTTGATCCTTCTGCCTCCCTCCGTATTTGTGGAGGCTCTTCAAATCTTTCTTTTCTCCCCTTCTTCTATATCCAAATGCAGCTTCCTCTTCTGCTCTTCGGCCTCTATCTAACACCAGCTCTTGGTCCAGCTGCTCTAACCTTCCAGTCACAACCTCACTGGGATTTATATGCCACAACACTCTGACTGTCCCTGTGAGGAGTCTGTGGCTTTTATATTTGCAGGGTACATGTGCCTGCCAACTCATCTGCTTTTTCCCAACTGCATTCATTGGTCTAATGAAAGATATTATTTCTTCCTCCAAACCTTGCCTCACTCTGCATCTGAAAGCTTCCACCCGCCTCAGCTGATTATTTCTTCCTCCAAACCTTGCCTCAATCTGCATCTGAAAGACGCCAAAAAGGAGGAAGGGAGCACAGGATAAATGCTGACTTTAATTAAACAAATCTACTATCTAACAGAATTAAGAGAGTTTCTCTTCAGATTAAGATTTATGCCTTTCTATCATCAAAACACTGGACTTCCTATAAAACAAAAACAGTATCCCAGCATTAATTTTTCCCTAGGCCAGGTGAGATGGCACCACTGGAGTCCCTCCATGATCTCACAGAAGCCATGAAAAGTCTTTCAAAACAAAAAAAATATTTGTGATACTTAAACTTATGAACTGTGCATTCTGGTACAGCTTAAATAATGATGCACTTGGAGAACAGTTTGAGGTCGGAAGGTGTTTTATGAGAGCAGAAGGGAGAACAGTTTAAGGTCCTGCATGGTGTATGTGAATGTCTTCCCAAACTCATAACACAGTCACATGGATCAAAGCTAAATTTAGAGACAGTGAATTATTCATTGCAAAAATAGTCAGCTAAGCTTATCTGGACTCTCAGGAATTGGGTACATCATCTGAGATGAGTTTATTTCATACGTATGTCTTATTTTTTCAGATCTGATTTATGGCATTATGGTTCAGCCAGTTGCCCAGAATCCTGATGAGGTTTTTCCCGAAGAAAGGCCAAAATTAATATGAAGTTTACATTCAGTTTTCAATGCATTAAAATTCAATTTACCTCTGTAACCAGGAATGCAGAAGTGACTGTTCAACTGAACCAAGAAAGGGCAAGATAAGAAAAAGAGAAGCCTCTACTAGGATAGCTGTTAGGATCATCAAAAGACTGTGACACAGAACTGTTGCCCTGTTCAAAGCAAACACTTGATTTCAGACAAAAGACAGTTTGAGTCCTTCTTCCAGATCTTTGGAGAAGCAGGCTTAAGTTTATGAAAAAGATTATACAAATTTATGAAAGGGATTATATGACATTTGGCCTGTGATAACAGAGAACTGGACTGAATGACACAAGAGGCTCCTCTACCTCTTTGTCCCTGTGGATATTTCAAAATCCAATTCACAAACTGTATTCAGCACACAGATTATATTTGAAGCTATTGCAACTGCAAGTATTAGCAGCGAAGCTGCATATAGCACTATTTCAAATGTATTCCCATTAGAGGCATGTGCATTGCCAATATTATTTGGTTTAGACATTCTCTTACAGCTTTATCACCAGTTTGCCCAAAGGGCTGACACTTATCCTTATATTCAGGGTTGGACTAATTAGTGTAACAACAAACCCCAGTGATATTGAGCATGGGCCAGCATTCTGCTGAAAATTTCTTTATCCAGGAGCTTGTTATTAATGAGTGAGAGTTTGCTAGCAGCAAAGGGGAACTATGGGGAACTTGCCCTGTTAATTTAAGGAGTATCAAGGCATGAATTCATTTATTAAACCTGTTAATCCACCATGTATTTATTCCTTCAGAACCATAAGGTGCTTAGATGGACAAGAATGTTTGCCCCAATCTGGCAGGCTTTAGAATAGTAAAATTGCTTGGGAAAGGTACTGTCTATCTGTCATAATTCTACTTAGTACAATAACTTCATCTCTTTCAGAGGTATGGTGGTATATATAAGTTTTTAAATCCTTTTTCAGGTGATTCTAAACCTTGTTTATTTTTTAACTTATATTAATAGCTTACTTTAGGAAATCATTAGTAGAATATGTACAGTGCATCCATTCAATGATATTTTTTATTAGGTTATCCACACAGACAGGTGTAGGAAGTAATTTAAACAGCTTAAATATTTGGATTTGTTAGAGAACTAAAATTCATCAGTAAAGCACTCAGCAATATTATCATCTATGTATCAAAGTCAATATGCTATTGAGATGGCTAGGACCATACTTGCTCCATGCAACTTGCATTTCAGGCTACTGGAAGGAAAATAATGGCAATGCTTGCAGTTTGAGCTGCTATCTTTACAATGATCCTCACACAGGCAAAGTTTGTAGGTGTAGGGTAAGCTTTGCATTAAAGGAACACAATTCTCTGGGGATAGTTTCTGTGGTGAAGACCACAGTCAGAAAATGACTCTTGGTAAGACTTGAGACTTTGCTGTTGATTATTCACAGATTGGGAACTCTGAGCAAAGAAATGGTAACTGCTGCCAGCCCTAGACAGACTTTGCTCATTACAGACTGTTTGTAAACTTAATCTGCAAGAGCAATGGCATGCAATGTTGCACAGAGGCACAGTTTTCAGTTTCCATTTCCCATTTCAGGTCTGTGTGGGATATAATACTGCTACCATTGTGCTTTCAAGACTGGTTAAGTCTATCCGAACACTTCCCTCAGATAAGGAGCAGGTCACTTGTACATGGATTTACAAGCCTTGTCACTGCTGAAATATGCATGGGACACACCATCAGACACCAGTCACTGATGGTGTTTATGGAGTAGCAAGATGGGCCTTGGGGAACGATGTGACTTTATTTTCACTTTGTTTCTTCAGCTCTTTCTCACCACTTCACCTACTCTTATCCTTCTGCATTTCTAGATACAGAAAAGGCAGACTTGCCATTTCATTCAAATTTTCCAGATGGTTTGTTTCCTCTGGAGTTGAATATAAGCCCATTTCCCTGGTGTCTAATGAGATTTGCCCTGGTAAATCTTGGGGAAACTGAAAACAAAAACAAAAGATTAGGAGGATGTTAATGGCAATTTTATTCTTTACAGTCACCTAATTCCTAACAAAAAATATTGTCTAGTTCTCACAAAGGATTCTTAATTTTTACAAAAGATTCTTAATTTTAGACTCTCTGTTCCTTAAGATCTTCAGTATGATAATACCAACATTAAAATGCCACCTTTTATTCCTTTTAGTTAACTACTCACTATTCTTTTTACACTAAAACAAGCAGGAGAGATGATGCTCAATAAAACAATCTAACATAAAGTTACCTCTTGCACGACACATTTGCTAAGCTAGAGCAGAGTCACATTAAGAAACTGATGATCTGATGACCTGGAATGACTGGGGGAAAACAGCCAGAGAGCTTTTTCTGCTCTGCAGCACACGGCAGGGAGAGGTCATCTTCTTTCATCTCCAATTTAGGAAGAAAAGGCTGTTTCCCTCTCCTAAAGAATATGCTATAATGTAAATGTTATCCCAGCCAATCAGGTACTTTGCCTGGTCTCAATACATGAACAGCTCAAAAAATATCAATTGTGAGCATGGTTTACTACATATCCAATGTTTACCTTATGTGACATGTTTATAGCTTATGTTACGCCACATTTAGTTTTGTAATTTCCTGTTTAAATAAAGATTCTTATATTCATTCCTATATTCACTGTTTGACCTCCATTTTTAGAACAGGCAGCTTCTGTGGATTCCTCTCAAAGCAAATCTGACCTTGAGCACTAGGGAGAGACACAGAGTGACCACCGGTGAGTGCGTTACAGGACTCCCAAAGGTGCCAAAATTGGCAGCAGCAGGTACACTGGAAAAGTGGAAGAATGTTGCTACAAAAACATTTTTACAACTGCAAAAAAACTAGTCATCTTATTTCAAAACAACAGTAGTGACTAGGCAAATCCAATTCCCCTGATCTCCAGAGGAAAACAGTAATAAAGACAGGCATTATAGAAAAAGAATTCACAGCAAAGAAATCCAACTGCAGAAAGTATTTTTCATTGACTCAGTTCAGGTCCTCTAGTATGATTCATGATATTCAGGATTAGGTGGGCAGAGATTTTGGATTCCAATTCCCTCCACTTCTTGATCTTGATCTTGCCACCAGATGGGCAGGCAGCTCCCAAAACAGGACACAACACTGTTACGGATATCCTAGTGTCAAAAAACCAAACAAATGAAAAAGCCCAACTATTTCTATCTCCCTCATATACCAAGGAGAGGAAAATGGTTGAAATCTAGATAGAAATAAGCTGTCTTCCACATGTCTCAGGAAGCTTTCCAGACCTTCAAGCTTCTGATTTATCTCTTATAGCTAGATTCAGTGAAAAAATCCTGCATAACTAATGACATCCAGTTATAACTTAGTGTGTTTGGGTAGCCCCATTTGCCTTAGGTTTGTGTTTTGTTATAATCTAAATATGTCCACTTGCACCTGCTTCATTCATGTGACTGCATGTTGCTTTCCAAGACAGAATTGCACTGGAAAATCTCTTTAAATTGTGGACAAAAAAATGCAACAGTCTTATAGAACTGGAAGCCAATGAAAAAAAAATTATCAACAGGCCTCAAAGTTTATGAGATCACTTTGCACAGGTGGAACCGGTGGAACCCCCAGTGCTAGAGCATACTTTCTGCACTGGTATCATATAGCAGCAAACGAAAGAAGAGACTTGATACAGCGCTTCGCAACTCTTAACGCATTGGCACGTTACTTTTGCACATTACTGAGAACATTTGGAAGGGCTGCACAGTGCATGGCATACAGGGTCTTTCATTGGCAAAATTTTTGTGTGTAGGCAACTCTTCTGCGTCAGGCCATATGACACACACTCCCCAAACCCAAACACTTGCATATGAATAACATGTTTCTAATAATACCTTCATTTATGCCTAGTGTGAACATTAACATTTTACCTTGTTGATTTAAGACAATCTTAACACATGAATATGGGGCTTCTGTTTTTAAAAGATTTCTGCTGTAGTGAATCTTCCAAGCATACTGAAAACCATTAGACTTCCTCATCTCCCAAGTGTCAACATATTTTGGAGTGGGAAGACCAAGACAGATGTTATACAATCTCTGGAAATATTCTAGTTTCAAAAATCCTAACATGTGGTCAAGTCTGTTAGTTCTAGTTCATTATCATGATGCTACTTTGGTTTCCAGTATAACACAATACAAGATATAAAAGGCCATAATTATTCACAGAAAAACTCTTCACAAAGTTTTTAGTACAAATCTCAGTTTCCCTGGGCCAGGACTGAATTTCTATTCCACCCTCCTCTCCCGATCCCATCTCCACCTCTGCCTTTCCCCCCTCCCCAGACTAGAGTCCCCCTATCCTAGAGCAGGAGTTTTGGACTGAGGTGGATTATATCTCCCCTTTCTTCCAGAGGCTTATGCCAAATGACAAAAGACTTCAAAAGCCCAAATGTTTCATAAAACAAAACTCCTGTCTTCAAGTCAGCGATAATCATGATCCCATTTTGGTTCCAGGTAACTATGACCAAAGAAAACACTATAATATCATCGTGCAATGACCCTTGAGACTATTGCTGTTCCAGTATGATAATTTAAATAATTTTACTGCCACAACTCACAAGCCGTTTATCCTCAGCATTAAAGACTTTATGTTCAACCCTGTTGATAAAACAACTTTCATAATCATTCTCTACAGTGAAATAGGGGATGGTACAGTATTAACAGGATGTGAATATATTCTATTTTATTTCCTTCCATCCTTTTTCTCACAGAAGACAGAGGAACTGTGCCTACTTCTAAACTCTATCTGTGAAGAACCAAAATGATCAACAACAATAATTTATGGTCTTACTTTCAAATCCCTCCTTCACTACCATGCAAATCATAGATGTTGTACAATCTCATGCAGAAGACTCAATCAAATAAATTCCCATTTATATTTTTCTCTCCCCTTTGGTAGATACTGCCCTCTCAAATTTGCTTTGAAAGCAGATACTTCCAATGCAACAACATAGTGTGGAAACTAGCCAGTTTACCACCTCACCCCTTAATAGCCTTCCTGGCAGTTCACTGAGAAGCCAAGCTTGCATCTACAGGTCCAGCAACCTATGAAAGAAACTGTCCTAAAATGAAGTTTTTGGCCCACTTTATGAGTAACTTTGAAAGTCTTAGAAGTTGTTTTAAACTACAGTGAATCTCATATTCTAAAATATATTCATCCAACACGAACCAGAATACTTCTCTTGCCCCATTTCCACCTAACAATACTCAAGCATTAAAAATTTACATGGTCGGCTAGGACATTACTTTTTACCAACATCTAACAAGAAAAGCTTTCTATTTGTCTGTCATTTAATGGTTTTCTTCCTTGAAGTTTCAACAGCTGTTTTTTTTTCGGTTTGTATCCTGCAGGATTATATCACTGTTTCCTGATTTAAAATTTCCAGCCATAATACCTTATGCATAGTCTATCATCTCCCCCTCTCTCAATTTTCCTCTCCCTCTCTCCTTTCTGTATCAAGCACCATCTAAGCTGACAGACAGGCACACAATGCATGAGCCATTTCAGACTCTACTGGGAAACACACTTGAAATAAAAGTATCAAAACCATCCAAAAGCACACACAAAATATAATGGCATGCAATTAATTAACCTGTCAAGAGAGAAGCAGACATTATTGTTCGAATGAGCTTTTTAGATTGCGAGTTGCTGCTTCTTGCCAGGTGCAGCTGCAGTGATAGCGGGGGGGGAAGCCTCCAAAAATACTAGGTTCTGCCAGCCCAGAGCAAAAACTGGCCCTCAGACAAAGGGCCTGTTCAAGCGCTCACTGAACACAGGAGCTTCTCTCCAGATGCAGGATGAGACAAAGCAAGGTTTTTGTTGATTTTTTTATTAATTTGTTTTGTTTTTTTTTTTCCCCTCTGTTTTGCACAGCTGGTGCCAATCCTATTTCTACCTGAAAAAAAATCTATCTATTCAGTGAAAAATATCTAGCTATTCAGTGAGGTTCTGGAAACTTCTTACTGACAGCAAGAAGTTGTTTTGTACAGCTAAAGACTGTTTTCCTTTTAGAAGACTACCTATATGCCATGGATTTTGAGAGTGCTTCTTCAAAAAAACAGGTTATGGGCATATCCTTTCCTAACTGAAATATGTGTCAGGCCAGCTCAGATAGA